CGGAGGCTGGTATTTGGCAGTTTGTGTCTACTGACCAGGAAAGCTGTGCTATACCGATCTCTGCTGATAAATTGAAATGCTCGGTGAATAAACACAAATAAATTGGGAGCTCTGGTTCTTCGCCAACTGTCAGCAGTGTGGCCAGGTCATTTTGCCAAGTCCTAGAAAAAAACCACTGTACAAGCTATTGATTTCAAGTTGCTTTGTATCATGAACATTTGCTTTGAGGTATCAGAGCCAGAATGTGAGCTCCTCGCTGGCCTGATAACGTGCTATTCCTTGCCAGAGGACTTAAGTAAGGAACTCTGAAGAAGGAAGAGAAACCCTCTTTGCTCATCTTTCACATTATCCTTCCTTCTCCTGATTTGGTCCCTAATAGTGCATTAAAGAATAAGAAGGAGAAAACAATAGAGTTCCTAGTTCTTCTGCCCCCAAAATGTCCTTCCTGTTGATTGGGAAGGAAAAAGGAGGTACTTAAGTAGATTTCAGATTTTGAAGACTCCAAAGCAATCCAGAATCCCAAACTTGAAAGTCAGTGGAAGGAGTAGGGGCATTTGTGTTAAACAGACCTGGCTTTGCATGCCAGCTCTTCCACTTAACTGGCCATGTAATCTTAGGTTCCATGTCATGTGCCACACTTCCAGCTTGGTCCCTTGTGCCCAAATGCATATGTCCAGTAAATGACGGTCCTTTTTATCTTTCTAAAAGTAAGTGATATCAGAAGGATTTCAGTGTGAGAGTGAAGCTGAGAATTAAGGTAGGTAGTAGAACTAAAAATGAGACTGGGGACTTCCCTGGCGGTCCAGTGGTTGAGACTCTGTGTTTCCACTGCAGGGGGTGCGGGTTTGATCCCTGGTTGGGGAACTAGGATCCCAAATGCCGCGTGGCGCGGCCAAGAAATAAGAAAATAATAATAATAAATTTTAAAATGAAATAAAAGTGAGACTGAATTTGGAAATGACGTGAGTGAAAAAGGGTTAGAGTTGAAGCTGAGAGCAGACCTCTGCAGTTTACTATGTTGCTGTGGTGATTATTCATCATAGTATGTATTCTGCCTCCTATCCTAGAAATAACCTTTGAGCCAGACAGGTACAAAGTGTCATGCCCCAAAGCAGAACTTCATAGGAACAGTAACCTCGGTTAAAAAAAAAAAAAAAAAAAAAAGCCCGAGGAGGTACTCAGAAACCTATTTCAGAATGCCATTTCAGTATAAGCAAACTGGAGTAGAAACAAAGAGTTGCTGGATGGTTTGACTTATGCGGAGAGAAGTATGTTAGTTTCCTGTGGCTGCAGTAACAAATTGCCACAACCTTGGTTGTTTAAAACAATAACATTTTATCCTCTCACAGCCAGAAGTTTGACATACGAGGGCAGAAATCAAGGTGTCAGCATGGGCTGTGCTCCCCTCAGATGCTCCCGGGGAGAATCCATTTTGTGCCTCTTCCAGCTTCCTGTGCCTGCCAGCATTCCCTCACTTGCGGCCACATCACTCCAATCTCTGCCTCTGTGGTCACATTGCTGCCTCCTCTTTTGTAGGTATCAAATCTTTCTCTACCTCATTCTTTTTTTTTTTTTTAAGATTTTTTGTTTGATGTGGACCACTTTTTCAAGTCTTTATTGAATTTGTTACAATATTGCTTCTGTTTTGTTTTTGGTTTTTTGGCCGCGAGGCATGTAGGGTCTTAGCTCCCTGACCAGGGATAGAACCCACACCCCCTGCATTGGCAGGCAAAGTCTTAACCATTGGACCGCCAGGGAAGTCCCTCTACTGAATTCTTATGGGAACACTTGTGATTGGATTTAGGGCCCACATGGATAATCCAGAATAATTTCCTCATCTCAACATCCTTTCTTTTTTTTTTTTTCTTTTTCTTTTTTTCTTTTTTTTTTTCTTGCGTTATGCGGGCCTCTCACTGTTGTGGCCTTCCCATTTGCGGAGCACAGGCTCCGGACGCGCAGGCTCAGCGGCCATGGCTCACGGGCCCAGCCGCTCCGCGGCATGCGGGATCCTCCCGACACGGGGCACGAACACTGCGCCATCAGGGAAGCCCTCAACATCCTATCTTAATCACATCTGCAAAGACCCTTTTTCCTTGTAAGTTAACGTTTATAGGTTCATCATCATCATCATCATCAATAATTGCTGGCCAATATTCACTTGTTCCAGTTTAACCAGCATCCCCCAAAGAGATAACTGTCTCTTACCTGTTTATTTTTTTTTTCACTTAATTGTTTTTTTTTAATTACGCAAACAATTGATGTTCATTTTAGGCCATTTAGAAAATACAGAAAAGTTAAAGAACAAAAGGAAAGGAAAAGAAATTCAATGAAAAATCATCTGTAATCCTCTCACCCAGGGGTAGCCAAACCTTCCCCAAAGAGTATTTTTCTAGGCTGGGTCTTGTGTCCAACAAAGAGGAAAAGTAGGAAAAAGAGAATAAAAGTGAACAGAATAGGACAAACGATTTGGAAGGTGATAGAAAGGTTAATATTGTTCATGATAGATATGTACAGGGCAGCTTAATCTAAAATAAATGTAGAGCTTTGAAATGAAATTAACCGTGACAGGAGATGCTTGTATGATGTATAGAAATAACACTCAGCCCTTTAGAGGAGGGACGTTTTAGCCTTGGGCCCTCACTTGAAACCCCCTGAATTTCCCCACTAATACTTCATTCTCTCCCAGAGGTCAGACCCTGGACTGCCAATCTGCCCTGTCATAGGCTTTTCTTGAGTCCTTATCAGCCTTCCTCAGGGGTCAATGTTATGAAGACTAGGGGAGTCTGGCAGAGTTCCTGCTCCTCCCAGGCTGATATCAAAGGGCAACAGGGGCTGTGACAGAAGGCAAACATTGAGACCAAAGCCAGATGTGGAACTGAAGCAACAAGAGGAAAAGCAAGGGCATCAGGTAAAAAAAAATTTTTTTTTTAAATCTCATTCCTCTCAGTTTATGTCTGAGAGCATGAAGAGCTTAGTAAAATCATAGCTCAGGAGCAACTTGTAAAGGAGAATGAGTGAGAAATTTGGGGGAATGTGGAGCAGATGTTCATATGGAGCTAGACTCTCAGAAAACTTTGTATCTATCATGGTTGTCATCAGCAACCAAGTAACATCAATGAGCCTTGGGAGTCATGAGAGTATAGTTCTGCTAGTTCAAAAGCAATTAGATTTGTTTGTGAGTCCCAGCAGGTGGAAGTTATAGGGAGACAAATTATAGCTGAAAATAAGGAAGCTATTTCTTTTTTTTTCTTTTTCGGTACGCGGGCCTCTCACTGCTGTGGCCCCTCCCGTTGCGGAGCACAGGCTCCGGACGCGCAGGCCCAGCGGCCACTGCTCACGGGCCCAGCCGCTCCGCGGCATGTGGGATCTTCCCGGACCGGGGCGTCCCCTGCATCCGAAAGCGGACTCTCAACCACTGCGCCACCAGGGAAGCCCGGGAAGCTATTTCTAACAGAGCTGTCAGAAAATAGACGGGGCCTAATTTGAGAGATAATGAGTTCGTGGTTATTGGAGGTGTTCAAGCAGTTGCTGGAAAGCAATTTGTTCAGAGTTGCTAGTATTATAGAGCAGCGGTCCCCAACATTTTTGGCACCAGGGACCGGTTTCATGGACAATTTTTCCACAGACTGGGGAGGGGGAGGGGGATGGTTCGGGCAGTAATGCGAGTGATGGGGAGCTATAGGGAGTGGCAGATGAAGCTTCCCTAGCTCGCCGCCGCTCACCTCCTGCTGTGCGGCCCTGTTCCTAACAGGCCGCAGCCCAGGGGTTGGGGACCCCAGTTACAGAGAGTATTTAAGATAGATATTTGGGCCAGATCTTTAAAGTCCCTTCCAACACTTCTGTGATTCTATAATATAATAGAATCTTATCAGAAATTTCTCTAAGAGCCAAACATTTACATTTGCCTATAGGAGATGCTCACCTATGAAAAAACAATTCATCAGGTTGGTTTTGGTTTGCCTGGAGGAAGTGAGAAGGCAACCAAGGCAAGCTAACAGCAGGGGAGAGGACCCATCCTGCTGGATGCCTGCTTTTTTCCCTCCTGGTGGATATAAACAACACCCACATGGCCTCTGCTTAGCAGAGATCACACAGAAAAAAAATGGGTTCCCTTCTTCTAGAGGAAGAATTTGGGTTTGCGTTAGTAAATATTTTATTTTGCAGTTAACAAAGACTAAGGGGGCTGTCTCTGAACCATCTGCTTCCAGGGTGCTAACTTCAATGTAGGTGGCTGTTTTCTGGTCTGGGAAGCAGAAGGAGGTTGAGCACAGTTTAACATCTATGTCTCAAAGGCTCAGGTCCATTCCCCAGTCTTCGGGGTTCCCACAGCACAGACAGAACTATTAGGAGGGATGGAAAACTCCTGTTCCTGCATCCCACTGTATAAGAAATGTACTTTTAGATGAATGCCTGAAGAGCTTAAAAGATTTCTGCATTTGGTATTAATTGTTATTCTTTCAGGAGTAGAATAAGGCTTTTTTAAATGTATAAAATAGCACATAAAGAATATACCAAGTTTTATGCTTGTTTTTATAGCCAGATCTTCTACATCAAATATACTCCAAAGCTATACTCCCTTGGTTCTTTGTTGTCTTCTCTTCTTTCCCCTCTGAATTATAAATAGGAGCATCTTCTGACGGCAACTACTACTTCTGTGTAATTTGCTTTGGCTCCTGTGCCAACCCATGCCCCTTATATCTGGGCTCACTGTTGGTGCTTCCTGATTTTAAATGAAACATGGCTAAAAGCTCAGCAATTTTTCCATTATGGTAAAATGCTTAATATGCATTCAGTTTATCTATTCCTGTTCATGCTGTGAAGGCTAATGTTCTTGGCAAAGTTGTGAGAAAACAGTAATATCAAAGATGATTTCCAATGTTAAAATGTATCTCCAATAATCTATAGCTTTGAAGAAAATGTTGTAATCTCTGTAATTCTTGTTAACATAGAAGCAACATTTCTGTCCTAATTATTTACTGGAACCCCTTTCTGTCATTGTTTGGGGCACAGAAGGGCTGCTGAGATGGAGAGTCTCAAGATGGATACGGAAATGCTGTATCCCGAGATAATTGTAGAAGTGGGTAAAGTCACTCTTGGAGAAGAGAACAGGAAGAAGATGACCAATAGCTATTTGAAAAGAACTGAGAATTCTAAAATCATCCAAGCGACATGTGCACTGTTAAATTCTGGAGGGGGTGTGATCAAAGCAGAGATTGATTATAAAACCTACAGTTACCGATTCCATGGGCTGGGACAGGACCTGGAAACTTCTTTTCAAAAGCTCCTTCCTTCAGGTCCACAGAAATACCTTGACTACATGCAACAGGGGCACAATCTTATGATTTTTGTGAAGTCCTGGAGCCCAGATGTCTTCAGCCTCCCACTAAGGATTTGCAGCTTGCGCTCCAATTTATTTCAGAGAGCTGTGACTTCCACCGTCAACTTGAATGCCAGCAGTGCCCTGGAGCTCCTCCGAGAGAAGCAGTCCAGAGCTCAGAGAGGAAGATCAAAGGTGCAGGAGCTGCGTTCTCAGAAAGCTCTTGACAAATACATTCAGGAAGAGGAAGATATGAGGATGTGTGCCTCAGAATTTGTTAAAAAAGATAAACTCATGTATAAGGAGAAACTCGACTTCAGTGAGTCCACACATGTCGAGCTTAAAAGGTTCACCACCAAAAAGATCGTCCCTCGGATTAAAGAAATGCTGCCCCATTATGTTTCTGCATTTGCCAACACCCATGGGGGATACCTAATTATCGGGGTGGATGATAAGAGCAAAGAAGTGCTTGGATGTAAGAGAGAAAAAGTGAACCCTGAATTATTAAAAAAAGAAATAGAAAACTGCATAGAAAAATTGCCTACATTCCACTTCTGCTGTGAGAAGCCAAAGGTGAATTTCACTACCAAAATCTTGAATGTGTACCAAAAAGATGTCCTGTATGGTCATGTCTGTGTGGTACACGTGGAGCCCTTCTGCTGTGTAGTATTCACAGAGGCCCCAGATTCCTGGGTCATCAGGGACAATTCTGTCACAAGGCTGACGGCTGAGCAGTGGGTAGACATGATGCTGGATATTCAATCAGGTAAAGCAGACAAGACGTCATTGTCCAGTCAGCAGGGAGGAGCCCCTTCTCTGCCTTCTTTTGGGTATTTGGTCAATATTTTGGTTAGAGAATAGAGAGCTGGTTTTGCTTACAAATCTTCTATTAAAGGGTTATTTTCTAACATTTTTAGTTCCAAAGACTCAGAATATGAACTGCATGAGGTCAAGAAATGCTTGGATTTTCATCTCTTTGGGGAAAGTTATAGTATGCCATCAGCCATGAATTCATGAAAGTTCCTTTTTATGCACTGTAAAGGTCTGCTGAAAAAAAAAAAATTGCAGGCTGATAGTCTTAGTCTAAAACATTCATCAATAGTCTCTCTCTAAAGATGATATGTCAGAGAAACATTGTTTAAGAAAGACTCTCCACTAATTCTTTCAAGGGAAACTTGTTGACAAATTTGAATTGTTTCAGTAACATTAGGAGCCAGTACATTGAACCACTAGGCTGAGGGCACCACCAAGTGGAGAAAAACTTAACGCAAAAGAAGGTGCCAGGCACGGGCCTCCCTGGTGGCGCAGTGGTTGAGAGTCCGCCTGCCTATGCAGAGGACACGGGTTTGTGCCCCGGTCCGGGAAGATCCCACATGGCTCAGAGCGGCTGGGCCTCGGAGCCATGGCCGCTGAGCCTGCGCGTCCGGAGCCTCTGCTCTGCAACAGGAGAAGCCACAACAGTGAAAGGCCCACATACCTAAAAAAATAAATAAATAAAAAAGGTGCTGGGGAGGGGATGGTGGTGGGGGAGGAGGACTTCTTGTGTTTTCACTTCCTTACAGTTTTGCTGAGCATCAGCCCTGGTGATTTCAGATCAATCCATAAAGGACTTAATGGACTGAATGAAGTTTATCGGTTTGCCTTCATTGTCAGTAAGTTCCAGATTTGATAAAAGAAGCTCAGATCAAGACTTCAGTGATTTTATTGGATGATACTTTCTCTTATCTTAAATTTGTTTGAGTTTACTTACACACACACACACACACACACACACACACACACACACACACAAACCCCAAACTAGAGATCCTACCACTTTCCATTCCATCTAAACTTTGGGGTGGGGGGGACTTTAACAACTATAATAATATTTTTTAAATACTGTGCTTACTTTTTCTGACACCACCCTACCACCACCGCTACCACCACTACTGAAAGCCTTTTCTTCTTAGAGGTGACCTGGAACCAGAATATTAGAGTTGAAAGGAACCTTAGGGATCACCTGCTCACCCTTGCAGGAGAGAGGTGAAATGACTTGCCCAAGATAAGTCACAGGTGACTTAGAAGATGCATGGTCCTACAGGAGTCCCAGACCTCTTTTCCTAACATATGTGAACTGTTTGAGGCATAGAAAGAATGAGAACAGCTCAGGCATGACATACACCATATGTCAACAGTAGGAAGAGCAATAGAAACATTCTTTAACTTTTTTGTTTTTTCATCTGAAACAACTCTCCATGGATTTGTTTAGCTCCTTCCAATTTGGCCGCAGACTACAGCCTTCACCTGATTTCACCAGCTTCATCTACACGAAGAAGCCCGTCATCTCCCATCAAAGTCCTGGAATTTAAGGGGGCTCTACAACAACGCTTGTTTCCAGGTATTCCTTCTTGATTTCAGCTGAGGGGATTATTTATTTTCTAAAATTAAGCTGGGAGGAATTGGTAGCAATTCGTCCAAGCTTTTCTCAAATGTAGGGCTTAGCAGATACAATTGTCCTGAGTTTATATGGCGAATTCTTGATTTCAGTCATCAAATCCACCCTACACCTCTGTGCGTTTTGGGCTTCCAGTCACAGATGGCTTTTGTTCTCCAAATATGAGAGAATACATTTGAAAGAGCTGCCCCCTGGCTTTCCAAGGCAGAAGGAGGTGAGCCTTGGGGTCACCTAGACTTTTCCTAAGGCAGAGTTTCTCAGTCTTGACCCTATTGATATTTAGATCAGATAATTCTTTGTTAGGGAGGCTGCCCAGAGAATTGTAGGATGTTTGGCCGCATTCCTGGCCTCTAGCCACTAGATGCCAGTGGCACCTCTCCAGCTATGAAAAATCAAAACATTTCCAGATATTGCCAAATATCCCATGGGGGCAAAATTGCCACAGGAAAAGGAGAGTTCTTAGTTTCCCAAAAGCATCAGGTTCTCTCTCTGTCTCTCTCTGTCTCTCTGTCTCTCTGTCTCTCTCTCTCACACACACACACACACACA